GTTCTTAAAATACAGTGCTTTGAACTTTTCAAGTACAATCCCTAATAATTTTTTAAAATATAAGCCTGATAAGTGAAATGAATTTGATAAGAAAGCAAATCTTTCTCTTTTATTGGAGAATGCCTAGGGCCATAATATCAGAATTTATATCTTAATAGCACATGATTTTAAAATTTCTAATACTGGGGCCAGCCCAGTGGCACAGCAGTTAAGTGCACATATTCTGCTTTGGCGGCCCAGAGTTTGCCAGTTCGGATGCTTGGTGCACACATGGCACGGCTTGGCAAGCCATGCTGTGGTAGGCATCCCACATATAAAGTAGAGGAAGATGGGCACGGATGTTAGCTCAGGGCCAGTCTTCCTCAACAACAAAAAAAGAGGAGGATTGGCAGCAGATGTTAGCTCAGGGCTAGTCTTCCTCAGGAAAAAAAAATTTCTAATACTGTTTTACTCTTAAATTATTTCACATCATACTATTTAATTTATTATCCCTGAAAGGAGGTATTAACTATTAAGAAATGCTAGACTTTAAATTATCAATCACCTACGCATTGCCTAAACATGGTATAAAAAAAAATGTAAACTCTTACACTTTGAGATTCACCAGGCCACTCAAAACCTTTCAAATGTCAGGAAGTAAATTTGTTACATAATTCTTTAAAACCCGTGAGTAATACAGTAGAAATGGGATTTACTCAAATTGTGTTCCTATGAGATTACCTAAAACATGACATGGCAGTCAGTAATTAGCAACCACGACTCATTCATCACTTGACAAGCATTGCAACCTGGTGTGTGTCAGGTACTGTTCTAACACTGACTTTTCAAAATGATTTCCTTTAAGTTATTCTGCTTTTAAAGTTAATTACCAAGTAGTATATTTGTCACTTTGGAAGGAACTGATTAACTTAAGTCACCATTTCTGAACTGTTGGGAGGCTCCAATTCAGTATTCGGGCAAGAAGCCCCCTGACCGTAGTGATGCGGCATTGAGTTAAAGGTTCATAACATAAAAATAATGCATATAATTTTTATGACAGAAATATAGTCAAAGAGTTTTTTACATAAATAAGAAATGTTGCCATTCTGAGATTTCTAAATGTCTGAAATCTCTGAATACTTTTGTTTGTGACTAAAATTTATGAGGACGTTTATGGTTCAGTGGTTAAAGGGATTATTTACAATGTACCATATTTTCTCTACCTGTACATATTTTATTTATCTTGTTTTATATTTTTGAAACTTTTTTGTGATAAGAAAGTCGACCTTATTTCCAGTTTTGTGATTTGGAGAATTCTAGTCATTTTAACATTAAGATTTTTAATATACACACTGAAACCTGAATTATACACATCGTGTCGTTGTAACTTGCCTTTTGATGTTTTACATGCACAATATTTTTATGTTAGCACTTCATCTTTTAAAGTAGAATTCACAGTACATTTACAGATTGAGTCAGGCATTGTTTCTCATTTTTTAGTTTTTACATTAGTTTTTTTATTCCTGCATTTTGCACTGACATCAGAAATTATTAATCAAATAGAAACAGAAAAGACCTTTCAAAATTCAAGAGCAGGGACAGCATTTTGATGACTAAGTCACTAGTCCTCAATTTTTTTCTCTCACTGTTGTGTTTTCCCTTTCCTGTTCAGTTCAGCCAGAGAGAGGGAGACATTTCCGATAGGTCTCCAGTAACTGCAAGAGAGGCTGGACTTACACCTGGACACAGCTAACAGCCTATTTAAGAGCACCTCCACTGAATGCGCCATCATTTCATAGAATTCTGGAGCTTCAAGGGACTTGAAGTATCTGAGACAGAAAGGAAGAAACAGTCTGAGGAGGTTAAATGAGTTGATCAAGGTCATATAACTCAGATAGTAGATTTCTGGACATCGTATCTACAGTTGCCTGAGCATATATACCACTCAGTTTCCCAGAAATGAATCTGCAAACAGACAGTGGTCACTGCAGGTGGAAGTACAAGTTCTCCCCAGTCTTGACTAAATCAGAGCGCAACCATATAGCACCTTTTTTGTCATATTAAGAATTTTAATCTGTTTTCTAAGAGCAGTGAGACGTCTTGATGGAAAGGATTTAAGCAGACAATATGATCAAACTTGCATTTTTAAAACATTAGTCTGTCCTTGCTTGAGAATAATTGGGTGGAAATAGGTTAGATTGGAGAAGGGTTGATGAATTGGGATGCTACTGCAGAAGTCCAGCTTGAATTAGAGCGATGAGACAGAGGTAGAAAAATGGAGAGATTGAAGGGGTACAGAAGACAGTTACTGTCTAAGGGAAGAGAGGATTCCTGTGATGCTTGATTTCTGACTGGTAGAGCCCATTAGATGGTGGTGACATTTTCTGAGAGGTCTAACTTGTGGAGTAGAAGGAAGAACATGAATTGAGATTTAGACCCCATTATGTTTAAGAGTCTATGAACAGTTACTTGCTTTTATGGAACCGGAACTGAGACAAGAAATCAGAGTTCGAGATATGGATTTAATGAGGACCTTGGCTGTGAATGAGATTCCCTAGGGAAAGAATTTAGACTGAGTAGTGGCAGAATATGGTATCGAGAGGAACAAGCACACCAATTTTGACATAGTGGATCTCTACAAGGGTGAGATAAGTCTGGCCATAGTTTAGCGCTTTTCCTCCTATTACCACGTTGAATATAAGTAACAAATGGTCAGGTAGAGAAAGTGTCTATTGAACAGGATTATTTCTTGAACCCAGATTAATGAAATGCTACTCAACTATTTGGAAGCATCTTTGTTACAAAGACTGTTTGTAACAACTTTTTCAGTTCATGGGATTTTGCCTAAACTGTATGTCAGATTTAGACCTGTATTATTTGTGACATACTTTCTCTTATAAAAATTCTAAAATTTTCCATAAAATTCTACGAAATCTGTAAAATCCTAGAGCCGCTAGGAACCTCCTGCTGCCCAGCTGATATCTTCTTCACTTGGATGTCTCATATAATTTCTCAAACTTAATATTTCGAAACTCAACTCCAACCTTACCCTCAAAGCTGCTTTTTCTCTGCCCTTTCCATCAAGTCACAAAGCTCAAAGCCACTTTAATTCTTAATTCTCTCTAACCTCCTACACCAATTGCAAAATCAAATATGGTCAGTTCTTCCTCCGCAATGTATCTCCAATCTGTCCACTTCTCTCCGTCTCCACCACCATTGCTCTGGTTCAGGTACCATCGTCTCTGACCTGAATTACTGTGGTACTGTTCTCACTTTTCTCCCTGCTTCTCTTCTTGTTGCCCTCTCTCTCAGCCCTTCTCCCCACAGCTGACTTAGGTATTTTCTTAAAGGAAGCTAGAGCATTCTGCTCCCTTGCTCAGAACCTGTATATGATTTCCTTTTTGTACCTGAGATAAGATTAAAAATCTTTTTCTCAGTTTCCAATGTCTGGCATGTGCTGATCCCTGTCAAACCTGCCATGGTCGCTCTTCACGGGTGCTGTTCCCTGTCGTGAATGCCCTGTCCCAGCCCTTTACTAGGCCAGCTCTACTCATCCTTCAGATTTCAGCTTAAACGCCACTGTTCAAGGAGGTCTTTGCTGAGCCTCTCTCTTCAGATGTGTTGCTCCTTCTTGGCATGGTCAAGGAAGGCCTCTCTTTGGAGGTTGCTGGTGTTAGGGCTGATCCAAATGACAGAGGGAGCTACCCCGTTAAAATCTACAGAAGGAGCAGGGAGTGCAAGGCCTGAGGCTGAGATGACCATGGCTTAAAATCAAGCTGGCTTCAAAACCGTGAGACTCAACTTGCTAAAGCTTTTGGACAAGAGGGTCTGTACTCTACACAGAGTGAAAAATGCAAAGATTTCTCTTGAACTGTGGCATGCTTTGCAAGAAGCAGATCTCTGTAAGTCATCGACTCTCCTTTAGATTCCTAGACAGATTTCAAAAGTACTTGTGATGCCATTGACTCCACTCAGCAGTGGATTCATTAGGGCTCAGTGATACTGGTGTACAGAGTGCCCCATACCTGGTTTCCTCCTGGGCGAGAAGCTTCACAAAATACTAAAAGCATCAGTTTCAACGTCAAAGAGAAGTGGGCCCAAATAGCTGTCTCACGTATTGGCTGTCACACTTGGGCAACATATTTCTTTGCTCTGAGCCAGACTCCAACTGGGTGGGCTGTGGTGGGCATTCAATGACGTCCTGACTTTAAGGCACCTAGCACAAACCAAATGCCTAAAAATAATTCTGATCATTATCTGCTTGTGATATTTACCTCTAGGATAGAGTTATCAAAGGGACTTCTACCAAATTTTAGGACTGCTTTAGATCAGCTTAGAGACTGTGCAGTATTATATATGCAAACTTTTGAAAAGAAACTATTGGTGAACATACTGACCAGATTTCCTTGATGGCTTCTTTTATGAAAGTAGGAAGATAAAAATGATTCTCTGTCTGAGGCAAAGATAAATGTTATAGAGAATATAGTCTCCTCTAGTTTTTATTTGATCTTTTTATTCTCTCTGAAGACATAGTCTCAAAGAATGTGGGAAACTTCAAAAGCAGAATAGAGACACACGTTGACTGAAGGAGACCTTTATGGCCTTCTGTTTACCCAGTGATGTTTTTTAAGCCCTAGATAACGAAACATCAGGATTGGAATTGGGAGGCAGCCTTCCATGTTGAAGTGCTGGAGTAAAATCTTAGGTCAGAGTGATTCCACACAAAAAAACGTTAGTTTGCATGCAAGGGAAAGGGAGCGTGTTCCAATTTCATTTCTGTTGTCAATGTTTTACATTTTAATCCTGTCATAGGTTTTGGATTAAAAACTTGTTACATTCATCATCTTGCTCAAGGAAATGTTTTGGCTCAAACAGAGCAAATTCAGTAGATTTATGTAGCTCTTCCCTGGCCCGATTGGAGCAATGGTACATCTTTTATTTCCATAAGAAAATTTGTCACAAAGACCAAATACAAAGATAATTGTTTGCTTTTGTTTATTTTATCCTCCTTTTTTTCCTAGGATTATGACAGTTTTTTTGAATCAAAGGAAAGCAACACTGTCTTTTCATTCTTAGGCCTAAAATCACGGTTGGCATCAACGGTAGGTAAATCTTTTCTTGTTTTAAAATTCATCTCTCTTGAATTGTTCTTAGGGATCGAGGTTGACGATGTTAGAGGAATGCATATATAACCTCCAAGCTTGTAGCTTTTGCTTTCTCAAATGCGCTGTTAGAGACTGCACAGTGCAAAAACACAGAGAAGCCCAGTTTTTTCTCTTTCCAATTTTCAATTGTTGCTGTATACTCGAGTTTATTTTTACTTATAATTTAGTTTATTTATAATTTATACCCCCTTCTTCCAGGAAGAATTTAAGGTAGCAAAAAGTAGTAAGTGCTTTCTGTTTTAAAGTGCAAGTTTATATTACCTTACATTTTTTGAAATAGCAGCATCAAAGCCATGTTTTTCAAGTCTTCTGCACGTTCATTTACACTGGAAGGGCGATGGTCTGCAATAACAAATGGTCGACCTTGAAAAGAATGCTGCAGTTCCTGAGTTAATCAAAATGTTTCTGAAGCAACTTCATTATGTCATATGTCCTGCCAAGAACGTAAAAAGCTCAAGCTCTTGTAATCTTTAGACCTAGAAATAATGTATGTTATCACAACTTTGTAAAGCATGTGCATCCACTTTCAAAATAGAAAATAGCATTTCTTTATTAAATGAAGTAATATTTTGTTTGTTATTTCCCCTTTTAAAAAAACTCTCTTTTTCTGATTATGAAAGTAGCCTAGGCTTATTTAGAAAAATGGGGAAACTACGAAGAAGTATAAAGCAGAAAATAAAAATCACCTCTTATCCCACCACTGAGAAAGAACCACATGAACATTTTTGGTGTATTTCCTTGCAGTCTTTATATACATAGCAGTCGAGGTTTTGACTGTATTTCAAATTGAGACGGAATTCTAAAGTGTCTATTTTTAACACTGAATTGGAATGAAAGTACATTACTGGGAGCTGTGATGTCTGTCATAGGGCTTCTGAGGCTGCCCAGCGTTTGTACCATTTCTGGAACACCTGTGGGAGGAAGGCAGAGACTATCGATAATATAAATTATACACCAGCCCCTGCAGCTCACAGCCAAGGTGAAATCTTGCTTTGTTTTTACATCAGTGAGCCCACAGATGGTTGTGGGTGGTTTCCATGCACATGTTTTAAACAGAGGCAAAACCCACACATGTAATATTTAAAGGTTCTTAAAACTAATTTTATAAAGATGGAACTTGTTAGGAAAATTATAGTATTTTTATAACATGTTTCATCCAAAGATACTAAATCCAGATTTATCTTCAAAGAACTAGAAAAAACTAGGGTAGGGGTAATCTAATGGATGTTTAAATCCAGTGGACATTATTGTCTATGCAAAAACCTTTAAAGAAATACTGTGTGCTTGCCATCTTTGTTCTTATTTTCCCCAAAGATGTAGATTCCTTAGAGACTCTGAAGGCTGACTTTTTACTTTTTAAAAATATTGATTCTCTCAGAAATGTCTCAGGAAACCTCTGATCTATAAAATTTGCATCCTCACGTGACTCGCGGTCATAGTGTTGGAGTTGGTCTGCCATTGATGTTTACTTGATCTCAGTGGACTGTTCCAAAGGCAGGCAGGGCTCTGGGCCTCCCCGCCGTGCAGCCCACCATTTCAGGTGCCTGAGACACTCACTCACAGCTGAGCAGGAGCACACGGAACCAGAGGGGCAGTCCGTGGAGCAGGGTCTGTGCCGTGCCCTCAGGAGCCGTTCAGGGCCTCATGGGTTAACAGCAACTCAAACTTCATAAGAGAGAAATAAAAATGTCTTCAAGAGCAGTTCAGCATCTTCCTCCTTTCTAGGTCTTCATTTTTCACCTTGGTAGTAATTCAGTACACTGTCTACACTCTAGGCCCAGCAAGTGCAGGCCTAGACAGAGCATTCACAGGTGTGAGGTACTGAAAGGTGGAAGCTCCTTTTCTCCCCTCTGTGCAGCATGCACACGTAAAAGCCAGGGCTAGAAAGCCTGCAGGACCATGTAAAGACACCATTAGCCTCTGTGATTGCTTCTTAGCGAGGAGAGAGAAGGGGGATGCTAGGAAAAGGATGTTCTTGGCTGTACACGGTTACAGTGTAGACTCCGGGCAGTTCTCAAAAGTGGACAGAGCAGCGGGAGGTAGGAGGCCACAAAATCGTGGCCTGCAGGCCACATTGACTCTGGATGTTTTTGTCCTGCATAGAATTTTTTAAAAGAATTTAAATGGGTTGCTAATATTTAAAATACAGGGGCCCGCCCCATGGCCGAGTAGTTAAGTTCATGTGCTCTGCTTTGGCAGCCCAGGCTTTCACCAGTTCGGATCCTGGGTGCGGACATGGCACCGCTCATCAGGCCATGCTGAGGTGGCGTCCCGCATGCCACAACTAGAAGGACCCACAACTAGAATATACAATTATGTGCTAGGAGGCTTTGGGGAGAAGAAAAAAAGAAAGAAGATTGGCAACAGATGTTAGCTCAGGTGCCAGTCTTTAAAAAAAAAACAACAGATTTCCCACTTTTCTTGAAAAGTAGGAAGGTGTGGAAACCCTGGGGGGAGCCCACTTTCTCCCGTGGCTGGCCGGAGCCAGCAGTGGCTGGCCCACCATGGTACCTACCTAGCAGAAAAGGAGGCCTTTTCACCAATAGTTTTCAGGCAGAAGACTATCAATTGTAATTTTAGTAGATGCAGAGCAGGGCCTGAGGTAGAAGTCTCTGCTTTCGGATCTCTGCCACTCAGGGGTGGTGTTCACGATACGTAACAATTGGCTACCCCTGGGTCTCTGACCAGCCAGTGCTGGAGCAGGTCTTGGAGGCCCCCTGTGCCAGGTGTCTGTTTAGTGGTTGAATCATGGAGCCATTCCAGGGGGAGGGGCTGGAGTGGCACTTAGAGGATTGGGGCAGTGGCTGTTTACCAATAGATATGGCCATACTGGTGCTCGGGGCCCCCTCCGCAGTCCCCCTGAGTGAGGTAACCCCCACCCCACACACTCTCTCAGGTGTGAGTGTAACAGTACCTCTCAGAGGGTCTCAGCAGTTGTTGAAAACCTGTGGCTTTCTTTCCACTTTTATATGTGGCAGGTCAGGTGCGTGTTATTTCAGTCTGGGTTCTGACCCTGAAAACCAGTTGATAAGATTGCTCTTATCAGTCACGTGGAGTGGTTTATTGTGATTTCCAGCCACCCTGTTCCTGACATTTAAAATATCACTGCCAGGGTGAATTTTGTTGTCAACGCAATACAATAACTGACATTTTTCTTTTTTTTAATAAATAGGCAGAACCTTAGAGAAGACGGGTGGAAGATGATGGAGATGCATTGGGAGCACCCCTGGTACTCAGCACACACCTGCTTACCTAATGCATCCCTGTGACAGAAGCCACATGCATCACCAGTTACTTTGCTTGCCATGGAAAAGGTGTTTCTGGAAGATGTGGGTATAATGGGGTTGCATGATTGCGCTAAACCAAATCAAGACTGTGGAGGGTTTTTCCTTATTTTCAGAATTGCCTGCAGTTGCCTCACTCCCCTGGCGGTGCTGTTAACCTGTTACAGGTGTACTTCCTTCATGACTGAAAGATAAGTGGGTGGCACCCTTAGAGAGAAAATGGTGCATCTGCCCTGGGTTGTTATTGATGCCAGTATTGGTCAGACCTGCTTCTCTTTAAGCTGCCTGGATTGTATCCTGGAAATTAGTCTGCACGCTATTACACTCTTTTGATCAGAAAGGAAAAAAGCAATGCTGCTTGACAAAGGGCTGAAGAGTTTTGCTGCAGAACCACAAACATCACTGTTCCAGTGCTTTGTAATAACACCTGAGGAAAAAGTTAGATGTTCTGCCTTCCTTTCGGTAGTGGAGACTCGTACCCCCATAAATCCTCCAAGCTCCTACAGATGTTTCCAGAAATCACTGTTGCAAAAATGTGTGATCAGACCCAAGTGACAGGAATGAAAATAATTGCTGGTTTGGAAAATATATGTTTCTTTATCTCTTGCAAGGGGAAAGTTTCACCTAAATGCATAAGACTGCTTAAAGATATATTTTAAGAGGTGCACTAATTAGATAGTGAATTTCTAGGCAAATTATCTGACTTATATCTGAAGGCATTTGTGGCTCTAGCAACTTATTTATGCATAAGTGCATGTATTTTTAAATGCGGCTCCCCTAGCTAGCAGCTTCTTATTCTATTTTGTGAAGGGATTATATTTTTTTGAGAAAGGAAGATCTTGGTTAGATATATTTTGTGAACCCTTGTTGAGGCATATTAAAAGATACTGATACTGCTGTACAATTTAGTATTTTTCCTGTGTTACTCCTCCTTGGTCCTCTAACTTTGCTAGGTCATGTTTCTGGCCAGTGCACAGTCCCAGATTTTGCAGAGTAATGTAGGTATGTGGTCTCATTCCATAAGAGCACCAGTGAGTTTTCAGAGCAGCATATATGAGAAAGGGGCCAGCAGAGAGTAACTCCGAATTGTACTTAGTGTGTGTCTCTACTCCCTTTGGAGTGGATGCTTCTAAACACTGAACATGTCTACTTCATGAGGGTAGGGGCTGCTTTTCTGCATTCTTGTTCCTGCTTCCATTTTTTTAGAGTGTTTAGTTGCCAAACATGGAGACAGTCTTGAATAGGATAAAGTCTCAGAGGGCTGCTTAAAATATCCTGTTATTCTCAGCATCCTGGTGGTGGACCTGCTGTTTAGATTCCGAGCTGGAAGTCTGTAAGAAATCGAAAGAACAGAGTTAAAGCCCGGTCACAGGTGTTCTCTCACCCTCCAACTTGCTAAATGTGGACTCTTCTAAAGAACTGCCGAAGGCTAAAGCTGAGGTCCCAGCCTGACTCACAGCCCAGGACCACAGCCAGAAGAAAAGCATGCCACAGACTTCTACTTGACTGGAACAGACAGACGATCCACAATTTTCTCTCCAAGGAAAACTGTTGTGAAATCATGGGTATTACTGCTTAGTTGGCATTAAATAAAATCCAGGTCAAATTCCATTTGATAAATCCCAGGGACTATCCAGCAGATTTTTTTTGAACTGGATTTTGTGTTTGAGTATGAGAGTCATCTGATAAGACTTAGAATTGCTGTTTATGGTACAGCAATTTAAAATATCTTAACGTTACCGTGATCTAACTTAATAGTTTAATCTGCTTTTGCCAGTGAGCACCAAGAGCAAAGTTAGTAAGGCAGAGGCTCTGCAAGTTCGATTCTGGCATTGTAGGGTCATCATAATGCTTGCTAGACAAAGAAAGCTACCCAGATGTCTGTCTTGAAACTTTGAATTACTACGGTTATGGTAGGCCCAGTAGGCTTCTCATAATTGGACCAGATGGATAGTAGTGCTAAATTACTCCCACAGTTACACATCGTCTACCCCCGCCCCACTTTTTTTTTTTTTTGATCAGCAAAGACATAGGAGAGACCAGCCTGGCTGGTCCTGTGCTGGCTGTGAGTGAGCTGGACGCACATGTGTGACGTCCACCAGAGGACCCAGGCCCTACAGATCCTGTGGGATTGCCCTCTGGGACCACGCCGTTCCGAGAACATTACTGTATCCTTATTTGTGCTGTTTTACTGGCTGAATTCCAAACATGTAATCATTTTCTTATTCCCTTCTTTAACTAGCTGCCTCTGGATAATCACAGTTTTAAAGCCTAGGAAAGAAGTGGATGAGAAGACATAGATGTAATAACAAGGGCATTGCTAGACAGGATTTTTATTTCCTGTAGTAGGCTTGTTGGGGCAAAGGAAATGTGCTGCTGAAAGTCAAATTATGCTGTTTTACAATTAGATAAAGTAGAGTACCATCCTGCTGGGTCTGTGCAGACCAGGAGAAGATCTAGTTGGGCAGATAGTTGTTTTTCCAAATTCTGGTGTTGTATTAAAGTCAAAGAGAAGAAAAGGAGGATTGTTTTCTTTCAGATTCCAATGTATTTTAGATTTGTTTCTGTTTTATAGATTTATTCAATACTCCCACGTAGATGTTTTTATATTTCATGAATGTAATAATGAACTAAACTTATTTTTGTCCTCTACTTTTGAAAGGTACCAAAGCCGCCTTCTGTTTTGTTTGTCTTGTTTTGTTTTTTTAATTTGATTTTGCTATGTAGGGTTTTGATTTTCCTAGAAATGCTTCATTTAACAGCTTAAGTGTCAGGGCCCACTTTGAACTGCGTAATTACTGTTTTTAGATTTCAGTTTGTATGCGTTTGTCTCCAAAGACATGGGTGAAATCCCAGATTTTATTTCAGCATTAAAGAAGAATAAATTCCAGAAAACACATGTTCTGAAAATGGAGTGTTTGTTCCCTGCCATTTCTTACACCATTTCTAGTTTGGCTTCTGTTTGGTTGAAACCTTCCTGTTTATTTGGGATGCTGTGCTCCTACTGCCTTCTGGGAACCCCATACCTGAAAGCTGCAGGCTAGTCCTAAAAATGCAGACAGATCATTTTACCGTTCGAGGACACGCACGTGCAGTCCTGCCTGTGTGTGTGTGTGTGTGTATGCATATGTGTGTGTATTGGGAGCTAACCACAGAATCATCTCAGACAGTGACCAGGACTGGGACAGTGTTAGATCACTCGTCCTGTGGTTGGTTCAGGTGGATGACGGTGGTTTCCTGGGGACACGGAAGCCTCGGGCTGGTGGATTTGCCCCCCTGGTTGGGTGGAGAGCACGGGTACAGTGGAGCCGCAGCTCGTCATGGCGGGGCTGCCTTCGATGCAGCCACCCCCGAAAGCAGAAAACAGCGCTTCTGAAGGCGATCTCAGCACTGAACTATTCAAACTCTACACACCACGACCGAGGGAGGGTGAGGAGGAGATGAAAGAGAACAGGCTGTAAGTTTGCAGAAATGTGCTAAATCACTAAACCAAGTCAGCCAAGTAATCACCGCCTACTTGTAACTCAGATTTTCAGTTTTCCCAGTTCTTCCAGAAATGCAGGTCAGGTTAGTTTGGTCATCCTTCCAGTCAGCGTCTGTTGAGTCCCTGGAATGTAACGGGTGTGTCTGAGCGGGACGACTCTCCACCCTCGAGGATGGGAGAAACAGAGAGGCGGCAGCAGCAGGTGCAGCCGAGCAGTGAGCAAGAGCACTGAGGTCCGTGCACGGCGCTCCAGGCAATGGTTCGTCGGCTGAAACGTTAGGTATAATCTGTTCCTTTGTTTAGTACAAACATTCCAGTTTTTAAAATTATTTCATACGTGCAATGGAGTATATACACATACACATATATATTATGTATATATACACAGACATGCTAAAATATAGAGAAATAATCAAACCCACCCCTGCGTGCCTGTCCCCAGCTCTCTGCCTTTCCTCTGAGGCACTGTGCCTCATCTCTGACCCTGTCCTGTCCCTGTTCGATAGCGGCAGCGCCTCTCCTGAGCTCTGTGTTGATCGTAGCCTTTCTCTCCTTTATCGTTTTACCTCCATGTGTGTATCTTTACATAATAATAAATGAGATTAAACTGGATTCTTCTGTCACTTCCTTTTTATGTTCACAGCAATTGAGTGTTATAATTTTGAAACAAGCACCCTAGTTCGTTTGTTTTCACTTCTAGGTATTATTTCATTGTATGAATATCACGGTTTTTCCCTTCTCCTCTTGCTGGACGTTGAACTGCGTCTTTCTTTGATATAGAGGAGATGTTGCTATGAACATTCTTTATGATTTCTGGTGTACATACACAGAGTGGATGTACACCTTGATTGAACTGCTGTGTTGTACAATAAATCACATCATCACCTTTAATAGATACGGCCAAATTGTCTTCCTGAGTGACGGTACCACCTTATGCCGCCGCTGTGTACTGGAATTTCCGGTACTCTAGCTCCTTGCCAGTGTTTGAGATCGTCAGACTAAAATTTTTGCCAAGCACAGGAGTGTAAAATGGTGTCTCAATTTGCGTATATTTGAACACAAATCAGTTGAACGTGTTTTATTGTGGGAATTCCTATTCTAGAAATCCATCTTCAGTCTTTTACCTTTTTTCCTTTTGTATTATTTTTAATTACTAATTTTTAAAAGTTGTTTATACTTACCTTAATTAATGCTTATTTAACTATTAAAGTGAAGTGAAACCATATTTAGAGTAGAAAAATCCTCTGAAACTATTCCCAGAAGTATGAAAAGCATGTGAAACTTTATTCTATTTGGAGAAAATAAAGTTAAAAGTCTGTCTTGTGTGTTTTTATTGTGTGCTAATTTTCCGCTTATCAGCATATCAGCCAAGAGAAGATGTGCTTTGGAAACCTGTCTATGCTTTAGAACTGTTGCTTGCATTATAGTTCTATTGGGCAGTACTGTTCTGTACCAACCTCTACTGAATTTACAATAGAGAAATAAATACCTTTAAAAGGTTTTGGGGGCGTTGGCAAAAATATCTCCTTCTTTGACTTGTAATATGAAGGGAAATGTGAAGATCTTCTGTAATATAATTTTCTTTTTTTTTAAAGATTTTATTTTTTCCTTTTTCTCCCCAAAGCCCCCTGGTACATAGTTGTATATTCTTTGTTGTGGGTCCCTCTAGTTGTGGCATGTGGGACGCTGCCTCAGAGTGGTTTGATGAGCAGTGCCATGTCGGCGCCCAGGATTCGAACCAACGAAGCACTGGGCCGCCTGCAGTGGAGCGCACGAACTTAACCACTCAGCCACGGGGACAGCCCCTGTTTTTTCTTTTTTTAAAAGAAGGTATTTAATGAACCACACAGATAACCATCTATAATCCGCAGAACAGTGATGAATATTAATAGGATTTGTCCTAGATTTCCTAAAGTGTTAATTCTCTGTATCTGTAAAACTCATTTGAGCTCATAAGAGTAAGATGGATAATCTGCTTTTTAAAAGTTTCTTTCTGGTCTCTTTGCCAAAGATTAAAACAGAATGTGAATATCAAGGGAAAATCTCTTCCTCTCCCTGCCCAGACTTTTTAACCTTTTTTTTAAATTTTATTTTTTGCTACTTTCTTAACAAAGTAGTTTTGGGGGAAAACCTGTATTATTTTTGTCGTTAAAATAATGGATGGTAACAGTATTTGTTAAGTGGGAGAATGTTTTTTGAATTATTTTGTTTGGGACCCTTGCCTGAAATGAGAGAGTGATTGCATTCTGGTCTTCGCCAGCCGGGAGATGACAGCCTTTTGTGTCTCACCGAGCAGCTTTGTATGTTGCTTTCGGTTGATTAGTTGCTATTCTAATGAACTGCCACACCTCTGTGGGATTTATCCTTTGGGCATGGGTGGAACAACTTGTCTGAGAGAAATTCTAGACATTTTTCATGCTAATTTGATTTAGCTTATTGGTATTGTTATCCCATCTGTTAAGTTGAGATAATATTTTTCTCCCTGTCAATCCATTTTATGTCATGTCCTAAAAACATCACTAGGTTGAAATACAGATTCTGGGCTCTGGGACGGTCGGTCCACAGCTAGGCTCAAAGATGACTCCAAGAAAATAGCTGTAGCGAAAAGACCAGCAGTTGGCATTGACTCTAATCCTGGACCAGACTCATCCTTCCCTCTCTCTCTTCCTGTCTTTAGTGGTAAAACACTCTTAATCGGCTCCCCGCCACGTCCTAACCAACTAGTACGGTAGCAGAAGTGATGACAACAGCAATGTTTTTATTCCCCAGATTGGCAGCCAGAAGGAGTGACTCCAGCTGCAGCTTCCCGTACTGTACTATTTTACATGCCTAATAAATATTTATGACTATTCTGCTTCCCAGTCATAAATGAGAAACTGAATACTGACAGATTTCCCATCCAGTTAGGTGACTGTGCAGACAGGTACATGCTTAGCAGGTTACATACTCAGCAGTTACATACTTAGCAGGTAAAATGACTAAAGCATTCAGGCTGGTGGACAGTTTCTGAATGACAACAGCAGGAAATCTGTTCTCTGTCATTGACTCATTTAGGGACCAGCCTGCCCCTAACTGAGACAATTCCAGAGTGACCCAGTTCCCTAGGGACAGCTTTCCAGGAACCCCAAAACATAAACTGTTAATCTACAGTGAAGACGTACAGAGGTACTGCTGGAATCCGATATGCGGGCAAACGACAAGTTGATGGTAGGGGACTTTGGGTGGTGGTGGTGTCTACCTGGAAAGACAGCTGCCTTCCTGAAAATGTGTCACTTTAGCAGAGAATGGATTTTAAGTGTCGGTGAAGATCTATTTTCTCCCACGTTTTCGTCGTTACTGAATATTAGTCATTCTCATTGCCTATGGCCTTTGATTTGTAGTATTTTCAGTATATTGTTATAATTTACACTCAGATCTTTGCTGATTGGAGTAGTATCCTTTGCATGGCTTGTGGTAGATGCAAGGGTCGCCAAGTGACCATCCAGCCCGAGCCCGAGCACTCTGTGCTGATAAGTCATTTTTTTTCTCTTTGTACTTCGGCTCGTAACTTTTACCTGGTGAAGATCTGAGAAAGGAGAGAATAAGGCCTTTCTTGTTTCAGTAAGGGCACAATCATCAATCACCGATTAGGTGAAAATATGATGATATAAAAACCAGATCCATTATCTCTTATCTTGTGTTAGGACCATTGTGTGGCGTCTGTTGATCCTGAGGATTGATGAGTATTGATATGTACGTTTGCAGGATGTTGATGGCAGTCAGTACTCTTTGTAACTTACTGTGAGCAAATGTATTTACTGTTGAGTATCTCAGAAGCTGCTGCTTCAGGGTTTTTCTTTTAATACTATTTGGTCTGGGTTAGCTTTGTATGAAGAGAGAGAAATTACTTGTATGTCCTCTTTTTACTTGTATACAATAATTTGTTATATAAAAGCTGACCCTACAGTCAAATGAAAGACATGGTTTATTAGTATGTGTTCATAGTCTATCTGATAATTAAATATGTGGCCATGTACTCAAAAGTCTAGTTTTTTCTTACTGTATCCTGATTCCTTATGTCTTTTCTGCTAACAGTCACCAGTTGCTAAGTGTGAAACATGTTGTGTCAGCCTATTACCAATCAGGAGATAAACACCACATGGCGAGTTAGGTCAAATACAGAGAATTATTAAACTCTGATAAGAGAGCCACTCTCGGGTATGAGAAAACTCTATTTTGCCCTGAGGCTGAGGGAGACTACCCAGGAAGGGCACCCTGGAAGGAGGCAGGCCTCAGATCTCCTTAGAGAAGTAGCGTAGGGATGGCAGCTGTCGAAGGTTTCCGGGGCAAGGCTGGTCCGCGGTCCCTGGGCAACAGGAAGCAACCCCCAGAGTGCAGCGGGCCGGGCAGCTGTGGCCAGGCTGTGTGGCTGCAGTGCAGGCGGGCGGCCT